GTGATGTTTACAACCTGAATTATCAGCAATTGAGTGGCATATCCTGCAGCCAATATTAGCAGGCAGAAGCAGATAACTAGGAAATGCTTCAATCAACATCTGATAAGATGGAAAATAAATATAAGAAATAGCATCATAACACTGTCCTGACATAAATGCACTCCATTCATTCTGGCACAGGTACCAACTCAGGCACCGTATCCTTTCACCTGTAACTGTCTGTTTTATATACATAAGAATAATTTCTGCACGGCTCCAGTTGACCTAGAAAGCAGTGTCATTCTGCCGGTCTAAGTGTAATGACCTCAGATGACATTTTGGTGGTCTTGGTGAAACAAGAATATTGTGAAGGCCACAGGTGACACTACCAGAACATTGCTCATTCATGCATATTGTCTAAGCATCAAGTGCATATAGCAGAAAAATCAATTAACTGTGACACCCTTGTTAAAGTTATGTTCTAATACATACAACATCATCAATTAATATGTTCTCTTTTCTTTAATTTTCTACTTTTTATTATCAATATTTTGGCTATGAAAATTGATGGTTGTTTTTTCTTTTCAAAAAAAGCTTATCTTACGGAAGATAGTTCAGATGTCACAGAGGGTAAACATTGATTATAAATATTTGTCTACAGATCAGGTGAAGATAGCTCTTTGCTTACCAAAAATTGATTTTAGTGTTACAGTTATAAACTACTTCATATTTTTGGCTGCAAAATTTCAGTGCTTTTTTGGTATTTCATAATATATTATCAACCATACAACTGAAAAAGTAATCACATTTCAATCCTTACTATAATTGTAATTTACACTTGTATTTTATTCCCACCAATACATCTGTCGGTGTGGTCCCTTTCACCATAAATTGCTTTTTTTATTAGCTAATTTATTTTAATATTTATTTACATTTCACTTTTGTAAATGTAAATTGTCTAATACCATTTTAACAATAATTCAGAATAATAACCTTACTTTACAGGAAATTCAGAGATAAAGAATGTCAAGGTCTTGGACATTTGCAGGAACTACCCTTGGTGTTTGACCTAACCTATACTGTCCAAGCAGAGGTCAAGTGCCCCAGGATGACCTATACTAGTCCATGCCTAATCTATAGCACTGCCCTGGATATACCCTGCTGCCAGCTGGACTGGTATGGGGAACCTGTTAACAACTTGTTCAGCCTCATTACAAAAGGTCCCTGAACTGAAAAACATTCTGTATTTCACATTACTTAGAGACTATTTCAGTGAAGCATAAAAAGAAAGCATGTTTTTTTCAGTCCCTAAAGGTTTCTAATCAGCATTTAAAGAACTAATAATAATTAGCATTTTAAAAAATTATAAAACATAAAACATGTTTATCTCAAAAAATTAACTAGAGCAATTTTCAAAATATTTATGCAAATCAGTTGAAATAAAAACCTGCTAAAATGATCCAAGAAATGATTACGTCAATAATAAAAATTATATAATACTTGCCACCAGCTTGCAGACAGGGTCGGCATTTGAAAAAAAAAACATTTGTCTGGAAGAGGTCTTTCGACTAAAAATCTGATCTATACCATTTTGCAAATTGGGTCTACTAAGGGGGTAAAAACATCCATTGTATTTTCATAAAAGACCCCCACCCCACCCCCCCAGTACTATCAGCAATAAAGTATACAAAAACAACAAACACCACTAGGTCAATATCTTATAATCTAATAGCATCATGTTAATACTATATAACTACCTGAACACAAGGCTCAAGGTCGAGCACATTATTGTAGAGGACGCTGGGTACAGGTGAACCAGAGTGGGGCTTTGTCCAAGACCTGGTCTATCAAAATGTTTTAAAAGAACATATATAGTGTGGCTGAATGTACATGTAACAAATGCATTCTTTCTCTTGCTGTAACAGGCAGGTGAAGATTTCATTTATGGAACACCTAGTAATCCAGGACGTCAGGTTAAACTGAACATGTCCACCAGTCTGTACAGGTGGTCAGCAGGCTTCTTGAAGTAAGATAGTGATAGAAAAAATCTTTGCTGTGTTCATCATGCTCACTTTGGGTATAATGATCCTCTAAATTTTAGAATGTTTTTTTTTATCAATATTGCATGCATAATGAAAAAATACGCCCTCTCTGCTATCTGATGTGACTGGCAACTTTGTAGTTGGTTTGGGAAATTGGTCTGCTGTTTATCTTCCTCTTTAAATTATTAACAGATCTTGTGGCCAGTCTGACCTATAGAGTGTGAAAAAAACTAAACGATACCTAACATTTTCACATGACCACAGCAGTTTCAATAACCTTTCTTTCTTTGATCTTGATTCCAACAAAGACACGCTTGAGCTAGATGACAAATGTGAAGGCTGATGGTTTCTGCTCCCTCCTCAGCAATAAAATAAAAATAAAAGGCCATTATTAAGTTGTCGGACTAAAATCTTGTTTTGAATTTGCCATACCCTGTACCTTGGTCTTAGTCTGTACGTGATGCGTTCCTATAGGTGTTTAGATCTGCCGCAGTCTGCAATGTCCCTGTCACAGCCCTTGCCATGACAGTTCCAGATCACTGAACACTTTGCTTCATCCAACAAAACATTTATGCTAACATGCAACAAATATTTCAATCTGATTATGCTTTAAGCGTGTGTATTACAGCAAAAAACATACATTGCATATTTTAGTGTTCTTTCTCCTAATAATTATACAATGCAGAACCTTCTTACAGGTACAAGATATGGTTTATATTTGCAACATTAAGTTTTAGCCCTGTAGATCTGAAGACAGGCTTTATACGTATAAATAATAAATAAGCAGCTGTCCACATTTGCTTAAAAGAAACGCTAGGGCTGGCGTTGGAGATTTGCCAATGAAATATGCTTTGGTTGTGGTATATTTTGTGTTTTTAGTTGTTATGACAACATTGAAATCTGGTATTGAAGTACAATATTATCAAACTGGGACATTATTTATTTCTGCTCACGGCACCAGTATTAGACGACCCTGTAAAGCCCAAAGTTTTGCTCTATTCTGTGGCGCGTACGAAGCAATATTTTAGTGGGAAGAGCGAGGGGGTATAAGTATTGATTTTAAAAAATTGACTGGGAGGAAAGGTGGGGTTAAGCTTCCCCCCTTCCTGGATCTTTCTGTCTGTCCTGTGCTCATGACTGGCGAGTTTGAAAAACGCGTGGTGACTTGGCTCTCTACAGCTGTGAAATATGACTACTTAAAAATAAATGAAAACAATACTCACCTTGGACGGGTATAGCACCGGTATAAAAAGCAAAATTAACGGGGTAAATATGACGATCCCCGTTTTCTTAAATGCCCACAGCTCTTTCAGTCTACTGAAACAAGACTTCATGGTCCGGACTGTTTCTCCGTAATGTCAGTTTCCACTCAACTTTCAGCTCAAATTGCCGCCTTACTGTCCTGTGTGCTCAGCTTCCCTGCATTTGACCTTTGTTGATGTTTTTATGCCGCACATGACGTCACTGGCCTTCGATGTGTTGGAAGCCAGACTCACAAACGTGTAGAATCATGACCTAAATTATTACGCACAAATAATGCTACGTAAAACGGATTCGGTATTTGTGTTTACGCTTTGATTTTTAAAGATACAGTATTTATAATCCGCTATAAGCTAAGTGACAGTAAGCACATGCTACAGGCTTTAAAACAGACGTGGTCAAGTTGGGTCAAGGCGGGAAACTGACCGCACGTGCTTTATTTGGAGTCTAGCTGAACAAATAGGCATGTTCTCGGGTCACCTGCCGCCGCTGTGGGCATCCGGCACGCTGGAAACTGGCCCCGCTACTATCACCATCTCTCTGCATTGCCCAATATAATTTGTTGATGCTGGTGTTTTAATATCAGACAATAAGGCAGGACGATTCCAGGGTTTCCGCCGTCCGCTGCCAGTAAATTGAATATTGAAAATGGGCTATAAGTCCTTTGCTGATTTGCGGTTATAGAGCGTGGTGCTTGAGAGATGTAACAAAATATAATAATATCATGAAAAATCCTCAAAATTTAATTTCTTTCGTTATTGCGATGATACACTTAAAAGATAAGATCCAAAAAAATATATCAAATGATCACTTTTTACACAAATTTTGACTCTTACATTTTTTGTAAAATAAATTGCAATATTTCACATTTTATAACCAATGCCTGCCAAGTACTACTTTAAAATTAATAAAAATAAAAAAAATGTAGATTAAAAAGGCTAAATTAACAATTACATGTAATATAAATAGACTGGAAGTATACATGTGATTCTAAACATTTTGTGGATTATATTAACACCCATCAACAGCAATAAGAGAATGTACATGTACTTATCAGTCACAGTGTTTAGTGTAATATCTATTGGTAAACAACACAATGTATATATATACAATAGATTAACTCCCATGGGACACTGAACCATTTCAAAAAATATTAAAAATGATGTAGTGTCTTGCTCATAATATATGTACCACTTTTTTAAATAGAAGACAACATTATAGTTTTTTAATTAATATTATAAAAAATATATCGCAACAATTCTTTCAAATATTTGGCAATAATCCCCAAACTATATCAGATCCCACATAAAGCAGCCCTTGTTCTACAATCTCAATTAAGCATTTACACATAGTATGATATCTTTAACAATATAAGTCTGTCAAAGGTGGACTGGGTTTCTGCTCATGTGCAATGAATGTACATGACAATCTGAAGCTGAGAGCAACAAAACTAAGCCACAATTTCACTGTTTACATCTCAACAAACACAGTTATGTACAGCAAGAACTGGAAGGGCCAGTACAAACAGTCATCCCTTATATTATACACATTAAAAAAAATCCCTGTCAAACTTCTTTATACTGGTAATATCATGTTGAGCATTTATGACCTTTTATATTTACAAAGAATAACAGTATAATATCATGGTCTAAATAATTCACAGAAAAATATGAGTACAATTCTGTCCAACCTATTTTTATGGTATGTAAATTCTTACAAAATACCACAATGTGGGATCCACAGTTTTGTTAAAGGGGTGGGAGCAGTGCACAAGGATTAAAAATTATCAGAGCAAAGTTTGGAAGATATAAAACAGTCAAGTTTATTTAATTATATGTAAGACAAAGAGCTCAAAATTGCTTGGTTTTATCTTGTTTTTCACTCATTATAGTTTGTTTTTGTTTTTTGCCTCACCACGTAAATGTGAGATTTGTGTACATGCACCCGCTCCCTGAATCCATGACTGAATATTAAAAAACAATGACTAGAAATACAACAATTTCACATCAAATTCCTAGTTATCTAAAACTTCACTAAGATGAAAAATTAAAACTAATAATGGGGAATGTTATAGTTGAACAATGGACCCTTCTGTGAGGGGAAGAGGTTGGCACAGTGTGATGTCTGGAAGACGGGATGTCATGGAGGATGTCCTTTTTATAGGCCACTGTTGACTTAAATGGGAGGTTTTCTCCTCACATATTGTGTCCTGTATGTGCATATTTACATACACTTTCTTTTTTAAATCCCTGTATAGTTTGTTAGGAAAGTTTGTGTGCTGCCAGTGGGACTAATTGTGACTGAGGAGTTCAAGATTTCACCACCAGATGTCATGTTGGCTCCACCTCCCCAAGAGGGAAAGGTTCCCAGGTTGAAGTATGCTTTTCCCCATGTGTTGATGGCAAGATTCACAAATGCAATGCATATCAAGTTCATAACAACACCTGCCTTGGCCTGAAAAATTAATAAAAATAAACATGCAAATTAAGTATAGATAGTTATATTTTGTTTCATCTGGTATTTTCCACTTAAAGAAATAGCATCAATTTTGGCCATAAATCATAGAAATAAACCACAAGGGAACAGCATGTATAATTTAGGCTCAAATTCAAGTACACAGAATACTTAAACAAGAAAGTATAATTTATCTCACCATATCTTTGACTTGAAGATGTCCATAAGAGAAGACGATGGCATTGGGTGGAGTTGCCACTGGTAACATGAAGGCAAAGGAACAGGACACTGTCACTGGCATCATCAGGTACAGGGGGTTGACAGACAAAGTTTTGGCCTGAAATGAACAATTTACAGCAGTAAATATTGATGTCATAATGTCAGTGAGAGAATGTATGTTTTATTGATGTTAAGTGAATAACAAGCATATATTAGATGTAATTGAAATAATAGGAAATATTTTACATATAACTGAAAGAATAATTTGTATATCTTAAAATCTAAAATCAAAGACAAATGGCAAGGAAACTACAAAGAAAACACAACAGAAAATCTTTAAAAAAAACTGAGTTTGAAGAATTTGTTAGATTTAATACATAAATCAAAGAGTTCATATTATATTCCATGCCATATTGCTCCTAAACTTTTTAATCAGGTGCTTTAACCTATCAGACAAAATAATAGCTATATTCTCACCAATCCTGCTAAGATGGGTAAAAATATAGTGGCAGTGGCCACATTGCTGCTGAACTCTGTGAAGGAGGCTATGGTGAAGGTGAGGATCAGAACAAGGCACCACACAGGGACATCCTTCAACAGGGACATCTGCTCACCCAACCAATCAGAAAGACCAGATTGCTGGAAATAAAACACAGAGTAACAATACCAGTTAAGCCTGATTACTTTGTTTTTTCAACCTTCACGTCCAATGTAGGTTGTCCTAAAGATCCTTTTCTCCATTACAGACCTAAAACAATGCAGCTTCTTAATATATCATATTAATGTAACATATTAATCCATTTTAGCAGATAAAAACTACCAGGACAAGACTTAAAGTAAAAATTAATGTTTTCACTGCTGCATACCTGGCAAGCATCTGCCATGGCGAACCCTCCACCCAGCAAGATGACAACGTTCCACGCCAGTTTACGCTGTACTGTCATCCAGTCCAACAATGGCGGCACAGGACCAACTGAAGTTAAACAGTTACACTAGGGTTATATATTTATTTCATGGAGTTCTGTTTAATATGGAAGCATTTTTTGTCAAATGATTACAATAAGAAAAAAAAACATATAGATTACAATAAGAAAGAAAACATAAATACTAGCAGCTGTTTACAGTCAAACTGAAACTGTGTTTTGCATGTTTTATATTAACATGAATTTAAGACCTAATTAAAAATTATGTACATTCTAACATACAGCATTTTTTTAGACTGAAATCATATAGACAAATATTCAGACTTACCATCTTTAGTCTTCCAACACAGCACTTTAGGCCATTGTGAAGGGAAGACAAATAGTGACATTACAATAACCATAGCAGTAACAGCATCAGTGACATACCTAGAAACATAACAAAAACAATGTTCAATCTTGTTAGTTAGACGTAACAAAGCATAACTGTACAGCATGCAGGCAAAAAGATGCATACTTCTGTATTTGCAGTTCTTCTATCAAAATGGTGGTTGTGCTTGTTAACATAAAAATATATAAGTAGATTCATTAAGTTTATCTTTGTCAACAAACTGATACAGTAAAACTTAATTCTTATTTTTCATACCTTTCAAATCCCCCCACCCCACTTTTCAATCAAAATTGTGTAACCATGACAACATACCCATCTTCAAAAATGACATCCCATCCATCAATGAATTCTGGTTCCCTGGTCAGCCACAGCAGGGCCAGCAGGGTGAAATGGCACAGCACTGCTATCTCTGCAAACCTAGACAAAATACAGTCCAGATGCATAGATCACAGGAAATTTCTTTGAATATTTATCTATTTATTTACTAGCATTTATTATCGTCATTATCATTATAATTATTACTGCTTACTTACTTATTACTGCTACTACATTCATGAAATAATTTCACCAAAAAAGATAAACGAAGGAAGGCCTTTTTACACCCATATCTATTGTTTGCAATTTCACATGCAAAGTATCTCTTTGGAAGTACCAATGCTTGGAAAACACTTTTGTATACATTTTATAAAGAATCTTTTCTGTGTAGTAGCCCTGAGATTCAGTGCACCTTTACATAGAGATGTGGTCAATAAAAAAGTGATCGATATAGTGACTTGGTCTTATGATGCAGAATATACTTCAAGAGTAACTCTCTTGTGGTCACAGAATTTTCCACTAATACATCTTTCAATCAATTTCCATAAGCTTCAGTGCTCTCAGAAAGTGATCAATAAAATAACACTGCTATATGCTGTTCAGATATCCCTGTTCAGCTTGTCAACATGTCTTTACTGTAATACACTCCTTCATGTTCTGATAAACCATTGTAAAACACTTGTGATAGCAGCTGTTTTTTTTTCAATCCATGTTTTACAACTTATCTAAACAACATACACATGTATATTTACTATTGGCTGCAGAAAAAATACATGATATATTACAAGAAACAAGCAGTTTCAATCAATTTCTAGGAAATCATTCCTGAGAGAGTTCTCGATCAAAGTCATTTCACAAAATAAAAATCTTAAATAACATTCTACACATCAACACGTAATAGCTTCTCTACTTAAACTGTGAATCTGCCACTCAATTTGTAAGATTTCCTCAAATAAAAAAATAAATCAAAATAAAACTTACGTCATTTTCCCCAGTTTTTCATATTCTTTCCTGATAACATTCTTTGCCGCATCTCCAGCATCACCGTACTCAGGTTTTCTACTGCATATACCAAACAGAGTCCTAGAGTGGAGGGGAAGAGAAAAATGGGTCAAATCTACTACAACATGATGTACAAAATGAATTAGCTGTCATTTTAACCTCATCAACTGTCATTCTTCAAAACCATAATTTGCCAAAGGTGAAGCATTCCTGTAAACAGGTCATGCAGATCAGAGGTCTTTTTTTCTAGGTTAATATCCTGCAGCAGGACAGAAGGTCAGGCCATATCTATACTGTGTCAATGAGCAATAATGATGATACAGTGCCTTGATGTATACACGTTTCACTCAAAATTATAATTTACTATACTAATCTGCAAACCATTACTTTTGAAAGTGTTGAAAAACCATGCAATACACATATCATATCAAAATAATGAAAGCAACATTAATTGAATAATGCTATAATAGGACACAAATATAACTTAAACATATCTTGTTCAAAATACATGTAATTCATAAATAAATAAATAAAGAAAGAAAGAAAGAAAAATAGTCAGGGTTTTTATTTTATTTTTAAAATTTTTCTTCATTATCTAGTTAAGTTGAGACATGGTAATACACATTAGTTAAGATGGCTGAAGTTCAAATCGTTACCTGGAGATCATATAACACGTGAAGTTAAAACTATCAATTTAAAGAAAATAATTAGCAGCACAACTCCCCCATGACTTAGAAAACAAACTAGTTGTGCACATCACAAGATATATATCTCAGTACCTCCATCCTAAGAATAACAGCTGTAACCAGACCCAGGCGGCCAGCAGTGTGATGAGCATCAGGGGGAAAGCAAACACAAACCAGGAGCTGAAGTTGATACCAGCACCTGCACCAAAACGACTGGAATAACAGATAAGATCAGGATAATATGAATTTTCAGTATCCAGGAATATAGCAGAGGATCCCTGAAACATGAACAGCTGTGTGTGTAGATGAATGATGAAATCTTTCTTGGAGTAAATATCAAATATACATACACTGACCAAAGAAAAAATGTCAGTATTTTATGCCAGTTGTTAAATTTAATTGAATTAAGAATTTGATTTTATCTTTTTCCCTAATTTTCAGTTGCTTTTCTTGATGAACCGTTCTCCAGGGCCACACCCACCTGTCGACATTGCCTTTGAACACCAAGTTGGGTCCTGTCCCAGTGAGCGTGGCTATACCGCCAATGTTGGCAGCATATGCTATACACAGGCTCAGGCCTTTACACATACTCTTGAACTGTGGATCCCTAGACTGGCTGACAGTGGAAACCTGGGTCATCATCAGACGTCTGAGGGAAATAAAACATTAGATTTTTTATCTTTTCAATGTGCTGGGCACTACACATGCAATATCGTGTTTATTGTTTTAACATTTGCACAAAAAATAAATAAATAGATAAATAAATAATAAGTGAGGGAAAAAAAGAATAAAGATAATAATAATAAAGAAATAAGATAAAGAGAATAAAGAGAATAAAAAGAATAAAAACACAAGTGTCTACAGAAAAAACCTGTCTGAAAATGGCACACTGGTTGTCTTTCATATTAAACTGTATTCATCTTGTTAGCAAATAAACAATAAATACAACATAATGTGCTTGAAAATGCAGGAGCACTTCACCTACACTGGCTGTCTTTCATTCTAAGTTGTATGGATTGTGCTAAACATTTACCTCTTAGAGGACACAGCCTGTGCTGAACTGTCATTCTCCAGCTCCAGTGAGTTAGATCCATTTTCAACTGGAAAAGGCTCTGAAAATATGAAGAAAAAAATCAACATTATAACCAAAAAGTTTTCGGATGAATTATATGTTAGACATTGTCAAGTGGAATTTTCATTTTTAGAGACACCAGGACGAGGTCAACAGTGCATTTGATGGTACAATGCAATTAGGGTCTAGTATTATCAACATGAACAGGAATTGTACTAGAAGCTTACAACCATTGATAAAAATGCTCAGAGTATTCCAAGAAAAAATTATCATCTTTTATTATGTGCACTTAATATAATACAGTGCTCCAGATATTTAAATATAACTCAACATTCAATCAATACTATGTAATTCTAAATTGCCCCCCTTGAAACCATTCTCAAACACTGTTACATAATATCCATTAATCCTGCTTATTGATCACTGTCTACTCATCCATATTGACTAAAATTAAGCATTATCAATTAATAAGAGTGGACAGGCATCCACACATACCCAGCTCCTCTTCCTCAACCCCCACTTCTTGATTGAACTTTTGTGCAGCGTAGGCATATTTTATCTCGGACAGAACGGCCTGAACTATGGGTATCATCATGGCAGTGGTGGCTGTATTACTGATCCACATGGACAGGAAGGCAGTTACGATCATAAATCCAAACATCAACCTGAAAGTTGTGAACAATGGAAAGGATAATTTTTTTAGTTCTTTTTAAAATATGTAAAGGTATTTTCTATTTCACTAAAATTCTCTGTCAACTAAGTGACCAAAAAAAAAAAACAAAAAAAACAAAAAAAAAAAAAAAAAGGTTTTCCTTACGCAGGCCATCAATCAATAGTCATCCTTCAGTTGAGAGCTAAATATACAAAATCAGTTCATTCTGATATAGAATGCTTGCTAAAAAGCCTTCCGACAAAAATCAAATTTCAGAATATAGTTAATCTACTATATTGTAGTTAATTTCATATGATAACTATGCTATTTATTTCACAAATATATCAATGAATGAAAAAATAATATAACAAAGCAACATTTAAGCTTTGTATAACAATTACTCTAATTCTGTTTTGATGTTTGAAAGTCACCTGGTCAGCCTATTGTAATAACCAGTCGGTGGTTATACACTTGTTCTTAGAGTTACATTTTCACCAGTAAGTCAACTGAGACAGGCAAGAATTGTTTTCTGTTACATGGTTTATTCAAGTGCCTGAAGACTCAGGTCTCTTCTACCGTATCTATAACTATCTCTCTCTCTCTCAGTCTGTAAGTCCTCTCAGTCTGTAAGTCTCCCCCTCTCTGTGGCTNACATAAAACTTACGTCATTTTCCCCAGTTTTTCATATTCTTTCCTGATAACATTCTTTGCCGCATCTCCAGCATCACCGTACTCAGGTTTTCTACTGCATATACCAAACAGAGTCCTAGAGTGGAGGGGAAGAGAAAAATGGGTCAAATCTACTACAACATGATGTACAAAATGAATTAGCTGTCATTTTAACCTCATCAACTGTCATTCTTCAAAACCATAATTTGCCAAAGGTGAAGCATTCCTGTAAACAGGTCATGCAGATCAGTGGTCTTTTTTTCTAGGTTAATATCCTGCAGCAGGACAGAAGGTCAGGCCATATCTATACTGTGTCAATGAGCAATAATGATGATACAGTGCCTTGATGTATACACGTTTCACTCAAAATTATAATTTACTATACTAATCTGCAAACCATTACTTTTGAAAGTGTTGAAAAACCATGCAATACACATATCATATCAAAATAATGAAAGCAACATTAATTGAATAATGCTATAATGGGACACAAATATAACTTAAACATATCTTGTTCAAAATACATGTAATTCATAAATAAATAAAGAAAGAAAGAAAGATAAATAGTCAGGGTTTTTATTTTATTTTTAAAATTTTTCTTCATTATCTAGTTAAGTTGAGACATGGTAATACACATTAGTTAAGATGGCTGAAGTTCAAATCATTACCTGGAGATCATATAATACATGAAGTTAACACTGTCAATTAAAAGAAAATAATTAGCAGCACAACTCCCCAATGACTTAGAAAACAAACTAGTTGTGCACATCACAAGATATATATATCTCAGTACCTCCATCCTAAAAATAACAGCTGTAACCAGACCCAGGCGGCCAGCAGTGTGATGACCATCAGGGGGAAAGCAAACACAAACCAGGAGCTGAAGTTGATACCAGCACCTGCACCAAAACGACTGGAATAACAGATAAGGATCAGGATAATATGAATTTTTAGTATCCAGGAATATAGCAGAGGATCCTTAAAATACGAACAGCTGAAAGTGTGTGTAGATAAATGATGAAATCTTTCTTGGAGTAAATATCAAATATACATACACTGACCAAAGAAAAAATGTCAGTATTTTATGCCAGTTAAAAAATTTAATTGAATTAAGAATAATTTTTTTCCTAATTTTCAGTTGCTTTTCTTGCTGAACCATTCTCTATGCCTACACCCACCTGTCTACATTGCCTTTGAACACCAAGTTGGGTCCTGTCCCAGTGAGTGTGGCTATACCGCCAATGTTGGCAGCATATGCTATACACAGGCTCAGACCTTTACACATACTCTTGAACTGTGGATCCCTGGACTGGCTGACAGTGGAAACCTGGGTCATCATTAGACGTCTGAGGGAAATAAAACATTAGATTTCTTATCTTTTCAATGTGCTGGGCACTACACAATATCGTGTTTATTGTTTTAACATTTGCACAAAAAATAAATAAATAGATAAATAAATAATAAGTGAGGGAAAAAAAGAATAAAGATAATAATAATAAAGAAATAAGACAAAGAGAATAAAGAGAATAAAAAGAATAAAAACACAAGTGTCTACAGTAAAAACCTGTCTGAAAATGGCACACTGGTTGTCTTTCATATTAAGCTGTATTCATCTTGTTAGCAAATAAACAATAAATACAACATAATGTGCTTGAAAATGCAGGAGCACTTCACCTACACTGGCTGTCTTTCATTCTAAGTTGTATGGATTGTGCTAAACATTTACCTCCTAGAGGACACAGCCTGTGCTGAACTGTCATTCTCCAGCTCCAGTGTGTTAGATCCATTTTCAACTGGAAAAGGCTCTGAAAATATGAAGAAAAAAATCAACATTATAACCAAAAAGTTATTGGATGAATTATATGTTAGACATTGTCAAGTGGAATTTTCATTTTTAGAGACACTAGGACAAGGTCAAAAGTGCATTTGATGGTACAATGCAATTAGGGTCTAGTATTATCAACATGAACAGGAATTGTACTAGAAGCTTACAACCATTGATAAAAATGCTCAGAGTATTCCAAGAAAAAATTATCATCTTTTATTATGTGCACTTAATATTATACAGTGCTCCAGATATTTAAATATAACTCCACATTCAATCAATACTATGTAATTCTAAAATGCCCCCCTTGAAACCATTCTCAAACACTGTTACATAATATCCATTAATCCTGCTTATTGATCACTGTCTACTCATCCATATTGACTAAAATTAAGCATTATCAATTAATAAGAGTGGACAGGCAACCACACATACCCAGCTCCTCTTCCTCAACCCCCACTTCTTGATTGAACTTTTGTGCAGCGTAGGCATATTTTATCTCGGAGAGAACAGCCTGAACTATGGGTATCATCATGGCAGTGGTGGCTGTATTACTGATCCACATGGACAGGAAGGCTGTTACGATCATAAATCCAAACATCAACCTGAAAGTTGTGGACAGTACATGGAATGTCTAATTTTTTTAGTTCTTTTTAAAATATGTAAAAGTATTTTCTGTTTTACTAAAATACTGAAATTTCTCTGTCAACCAAGTGACCCAAGAAAAAACTCTTTTTCCTTACAAGGACTATCAATCAATAGTCATCCTTCAGTTGAGAGCTAAATATACTAAATCAGTTCATTCTGATATAGAATGCTTGCTAAACAGCCTACCGACCAAAATAAATTTCAGAATATAGTTAAGTTAATTTCATAACTATGCTATTTATTTCACAAATATATAAATGAATAAAAAATAATATAACAAAGCAACATTTAAGCTTTGTATAACAATTACTCTACTTCAGATTTGGGAGTCACCTGGTCAGCCTAAAATTTTAACATATGCCCTGTCAACATGAATTATTCTATAAATTTTACATACTGAGAAAAGGTTTAATTGTTAAAGGTGGGTGTTTATCATACGTACCACTTAGGTTTGGATCCTACTAGCAACAGCACTCTCAGAGCAATTCTTTTATGAAGGTTCCAGTGTTCTACTGCCACAGCCACCATTAGCCCTCCTACAAACAGCATGTTGGTATCCTGGAACAACACACTTAGAATTTAAACATAAATTTGTCTCACTTCATATTTTTTGCAGAAACAGTAGAGCAGAGAAACTTTAGGAGACTTGGTTACTGTCCTCATCGTTTGTGGGTGTGATAAGCAAGATTATATAAAAAAAAAAACGCAAAATGGTTTTTCAGTCAAAATAGCAACAATAATGTCTTTTTTTTTAATTACAGGAAGACAAAAAGTTGCTGCTGGGAGAATTCAGTAGATTTAATACATATGGTAAAGACTTGAGAATTTAGTTGGTCTTGAAAACCTTGTTGGAAGACAATTTTCTGCTAACATGTTTTTTTTTATGAAAATATTTCAAACTTGTAAATGGGCTACTCAATAATTTTGAAAAGCTTGTCATTTAATATTGTCTTGTTGGATACATACATTTTAAAGCATTAATTTTTTAGCGACGAAATTTTCAAGTTTTTACTATATACAGGATACAAAGAGAAAAAGCAGCATTTCTCAATTTTACACATTAGTTTTAAATTGATATTGTTATTTTAGCACGGGTTACATAAACTTGGTTAAAACCTTATCCAAAATGTTTTCAGCTAAAAAAATAATTTACTTGATATTAAAATCTGAAATGTTGAAAACTAGACATATCTGGTCAAATTGAATATGTTTAATTCTCTTCTCTGCATTCAGCATTCAATGCAATTTGACTGATTATAAGGATTATCCTTCAAATAACTCATTCTAATTAATGATTATTGGTAAAATGTTGTCCATTTTCTTCTTTGTTAAATGCTGCCTACATTCTTCAGTGACAAAGACAAGTATTGTACTAAAATTAATGAAAAGATGACCTTTGTTTGTTTTATTGTGTAGGAAAAAATGCATCAAACTTGAAGCTTTGATGTCTAAAACAAAGAATTCACTATAAATCAACAAGCTGATTCTTCTTTTTTGTTTGTTTGTTTTGCTAATTTCAGAAAAATGTCACGGATTTGTAGTAGATAGTTTTTGTCATTTAAAAACCTTTAAGAACAGTGAGTCTTATCCTTTTTTAAATATAATTTATTTACATAATAATTGCAAAGAGGTCAGTAAATTTCAAACATATACAAATACCAATATTGTACTTATAGTGTATTAATCATAAAAATCCAATTAAATTATATAGTTCATCTTAATCATATAAGTAGTATGGTTTAAACTATTCATTATTGAAGCAAACATTTTATCCTAATTTTTTAAAAATGTTCTGAAACCAAACAAAGAAGGCAAAAAAGAGAAGAAAGAAAATATGACCACCTTTAAGAGGCCAGGTTTACGCTGCAGTAGTTAAACCTGTTTTTAGTTAGTGACACACACTGAAGCAGAACATGCAATAAACTACAGGATCAGGTTAAACCAGTCTAAAACTGCACGCAGAATGAGACAAGATTTTTTATAATTGTACGCAATTACACAATATTAGACTTGAATTTTTTCTCAGTTTTAAATGTAATATTTTCATGTGATACTTAAATAATAATTTTAATGGTTTAAAAAAATGATCCCACATCCTTTCCATTGCATTGACAGAATAAAAATTCACACACATGTTAAGGGAAAAATAGAGAAAGAGTCTCAGAGTGAAAAGGAGAGGTGTTTTTTTACCTTGAGATAATTTTTGCACAGATCTTTTGAGCCCAGCACTCCTAGTATTGGGAAGAGTACAACAGGCATCAAAGCTGTGGCAGCAAGGGGCAGCACCTCTGTCATCCAATACACTGCCATAACCAAAACACCAAAGGCACATCTCCCAGCCTGAAGAAGGAGGATATGTTTTGATAATATAATATTTATACATACACCAGTTCTTTCAGCCTGTATTCTGCAAAACAATTAGTACTCTGACTGCGGAATCCTTATGAAAGGTTATGTTGTATATATCTATGCATATATTGATAAAAAATAAACTCCTACAATTAAACCAGTGTTATGCCTGCATCAAGCCAGAACCTGTATATTTTTCCGCTTGATACAAGCAGTAGAAAGCTTGCACTTTCTCAACTTGTGGCCATCACAGTCAATGGTTTCTAAAGCTTTCTCAGACTGAAGATGAGTTAATTTACTGATACTTAAAGATGATACATCAGCTAGAGATCTGAACCGATTCAGACTCATTAAAAAGAACCCCATATCGACATTCATAGTTATCTTAGGGGTCGAAATTCATACATTTCTTTTCTAAATACTGCACAACTAACATATATCACATACATAACATATAACACATATATAACATATATTGTACAACATATAGTACATATTGAACCTGGAGGAAAAATAAATTAAAATTACCCACAGTGTCCTAGCTAAGACAATTAAGGCGCTGCATGGCATCACTATCATACAAGATTAGAAAAGTGTGCAAGACAGGTTTAAACTTTACAGCGATAATTCTGGAACTCCCTGTGCTCATGCTCTCAGTATTGACCTGGCCAGGCAATCAGCATGTGACCTTTTGGTCTCTGACTTGACCTGTCCAGGGAATCAGCCTGTGACCTTTTCCTCTGAATTTACCTGGCCAGGGAATCAGCCTGTGACCTTTTCCTGTGAATTGACCTGGCCAGGGAATCAGTCTGTGACCTTAATTTCCTCTCTGAATTGACCTGGCCAAGGAATCAGCTTATGACCTCCTGCTGTCTGACTTGACCTTGCAATCAGCCTGTTTTCTCAAATGCTCTCTGACTTGAGCTGGCCATGCAATCAGAATTCACCTTCTGGTCTCCCACTTGACCTGATCAGGTAATCAGGCTGTGACTCTCTGCTCTTTGACTTGACCTGACCTGGGAATCAGCCTGTGACCTTCTGGTCTTTGACTTGACCTAACCAGGGCGTCAGTCTGTGACCTTCTGCTTTGTGACCTGACCTGGCCCAGCAATTAGCCTGTGACCTTTTGCTCTTTGACTTGACCTGACCAGCAAATCAGTGTGCCACCTTCCACTCTCTGACTTGACCTGGCCAAGTAATCAGCCTTTGATCTCTTGCTCTCGAAATTGATGTGACCAGGCAATCAGCATGTGACCTTTAATTTGCTCTCCGACTCGTCTTTTCCAGGGAATCAGCCTGTGACCTTTGTTTTCTGATTTGACCTGGCCAGGGAATCAGCCTGTGACCTTCAGTACTCTAGTACTTGTAACTAAGGGCAATCATGTCTAGACATAACCAAAATTGTGCAATTCACATACCAAGCAGGGCACAGTTTCAAAAAGAAGCATACATCGTACAAATCATGGCATGGAATCTGTGTGGGACCTCCTTCCCCCTACTATTAAGGCAATCAAAGGCAATCAGGTCTGAAACCAACCAACATTAATTGAGCATTATACAAATACCAAATACGGCACAGTTTCAACAAACCTAAATTTATTTGTTATTTAACACAATAAATAATAATCTTTTTCTGTTTCCATGCACTTATAACTCCTTCAAATTTTAATTTGGTTATATAGCTGTATATGCCTTTTTAAACAAATATTATAAAATTATGATTTGTTATAAATATTCTGACTAGACAAAAATGCTGGTATGTGCAAGCAATAATTCAAATCATCTCCATACTCAAGTCTCTATATGATCGAATAATAGTGGAAATTGAAAAGACAAACTTGTCATCTGGCATATTGAAATATTGTACACCTTTTCACCTGTGAAGATGATTTTCAGTGCACTGGGGCAGAACGAGAATAAATTTATTCCACAGCTGTGACAGTGAAAAACATATTTAAGGGAGAATATTCATTCATGTCATGCTTTTGACAGGAATATTAAGCCTGCCCACACATATATGCACCTAATCACCACCCAGGACAAGCATTATATATACCACATTTTATGTGATTATAGGGAGGTCCTAGATCAAGTCAACAACATATATATATATATATATATATATATATATATATATATATATATATATATATATATATATAATCTCATAGAAATAATAACAGAATCATTAAACATTACAGTTTTCTGCATGTGCTGTAGCAAAAAGACAAATAACTTATAAAACATTCCCATCATCATCATAGCTGATGCATGACCGGCAGAAAATGTAGGTGAAAACATTTGTAAATTAGAGTACTGTCCTGTTTACCTGTGACCGGCCCATCAACAAACACCTCTATGTAACGGCACTGTACACATATATATTACTAGTGGAATGTCAGCCCTACACTCCTAAACTAACAGTTGATATATATTGTTCATGAAGATATACATCATATAGAAAAAGAAAAGATTTCTTCTACAATTTCTTTAACACGTATACACCAACATAGTTCAACACCTGTGTTCTATATAAATAGTGTAACTGTCCCTGTCTAAACACATCGTACATATATTAATACAGTTTATATTGAATGAAAGGCCTAAAATTTAGTGTACTGAATTGATTTTATTCTGACATTTACATATCAGCAATATATTTTCATATCATATGTTATAACAGTGACTTCTCCTGTGATTAATGAAGCCAAATTAATTATCCCAATACATAGAGAGTAAATCCATTAAGAAGGCCACATGGATCATATTTAATTTATCGGTGTCAATACTTCTATTCAATATACATTTTAGATATCTCTCACACTAAACCACTATTCAGATTAAAACAGCCACAAACTGTAGCATACTGTATACCAAACTCACCCTCTGAGGTAGACATGACTGTTGTGTGCTATTAGTAGCTGCAGTATTCCCTGGCCCAGCACATGTGAAGGGGAATATCAATACGGCCACCAATGGAGGAGTGAAAACAAGAATGAAAGTATTCTTAAACTTCAGCACTGATCTGGCACAGCTTCTTCTTGATATCACACTAGTCTCCATCTTCAACCATTAAGTTTTCTGTTATGATTTTCAGCCCAAAGCACACCTTAGTTCTTAGATCCTGCTGCACTCGGCTCCACTTCAATACCTACCTATGTGGCCTCAATTAATCACAGCCGGGCCAACTAACACACCCGTGTGCCGAAACACAATGCAAACAGTTTCAAAACACAAAAGACATCTTTTTTTCAGAAATATACATAAATATACGGCCTGGTAGTATATAATAAAAGGCTTGTTTTATTTTGTGTGTTAGTTTCTTTGTGTTGATTAAAGAAATTTTTAAAGAGTATGTACTTGTCACAGCCAGTGCAGTGCAAACCATCAAATGTGCTCTGTGTTCATTGTTGTGGTTCTGACCAAAGTAGCGTATAAAGAAAACTCTTATTACCTCATGTTTAACAGAATGCATGGGGAATACAGTGACAAAGAAATGGCTCGTCTTGATAAAGAGTGTAAAAATATTAGACATTCACGCTGATTGAAAGTGCTTCAGTTCTGTTTACTTTAGTGTGAACAATGTAAGTATAAATAGGGATATTTGTACAGAAATTTAATACAGAACTCCACTTGGGCAGCAGCACCTCATTTAATATTTAGAAAAGAAAAATGGCAATGCATTACATAATTTAACAAGTTTACTATTAATGGCAAAATCACAGTAAGAGCGGACTCCTAAGAGCACCTTTGAATAAGCCAAAGCACGAAGGAGTTTTAACTTAAAAGTTTCCCGTCACTGTGCTTAACAGGTTCCCCTCTTTAATGGAGACATTTTACTTACAGCTTGTTCAATAATTTTATGGAAATATTTTAAAACATTTTTTTCTTTCACTTTCAAAATGAGAGAATTGTGCCGTGGTCTGGAGTTTAAGCTTTTCATTCTATTTATTTACCAATTACCAAATGAACTTCAAATAGTTGTTTTTAAAAACTGCAACATTTTCTGTCTCCAACACCACATTCTCCTGGCACAAGGTGTTATTATTTAATTTACCAAACACACAATGACAAGGCATTTGTACCATAACAAAGCTTTAAATATTAAACCTTGCTTAAGGAGACATCTGACCTGTTTCACATCCAGCAGTATATATTTTAGAGAATGAGTCTGTAATAGTACACTTTGAGAGAAGGACAGCTTTATAGTCCGGCTATTACATAAGAGTCACCTGAACCAAGAAGTTCTCTTTACAACTTCCTGTCTCACTAGAGCTTTCAGGCTTGACATGGAGGAATAACAAACACAACAGCAGGTCGCATCAATGCATAATAATAAATCACATGTACCCCCCCCCCCCCCCCCAACTTATATGCTTCTCAAGTTGCATAAAAATAAACATAAAAATTAAAGAAAAATTTAGAAAAAAGGTTTTCACTTACACCTGCAATTTAACCCTTAGGGAGACAGTAACTTGAGGGGAGGGGGGTTAAAGGGATGATAACTCTTCGTATGACATCTATATTTCACAATAAAAACATTGTGAATAACTCATAGAAATATAATGTATTCCGTTTTACCACAAAAACGGCAGTCATTGCTATTATTCTGATATCTGAGCTCGTCTTTAGACCATGTGACCTCCATTGATGGCTATACTCTGCTAAAATCTCTTAAGAGATTTTAACAAAGAACCAAACTTTTTAGAAAAAAACCAGGGACTTACTTTGAATGTAAAAATGGATTCATTAACCATTGGTAAGTATGGGAAAATTCTTTACTCCAGGAAAATTCATTTTTTGGCCGAAACGAAGAGTTATTATCCCTTTAACTTATTTGGCACATATTAGTGCAATGCCCCATTGCCGACATCAATAGAGGTCACTAGCGTCTGTGACATAATGGATCCTTTGCTCTCTTTTGACAGCATCCCAAGAAAGGTTATGTTTGTGAGCACATGGACCAGTATCACCAGTGCTACAGCCCCATAATTTGAGAAACTTTTTAGACAAAGATTTGATCCACTTCAGTGGAGATGAAGACTAACAAGTCTACTAAAATTTATTAAATAAGTCTGAAACCTCAGCCACATCTTCAGTGTTATAAACCAAAGCCAATATTTCATTCAATTGAACAATTTGACTGGGCATAAGTACACCAAAGTTGTTCAGGTTAAAACAGGCTAGAGCTCTGTTGTGAAGCCAGGCCATTGGTCTTTGTGGAGAGTCAAGAAGGATCAGACTGCATAATTAAAACATCTCCTTAACACTGACGTTTGAAAATGAACATGGGGGAAATGTGAAATACATACTAAATCAAAAAGTAACTATATCAATTACCAAGGCTGATGCTTCTTGACCTTTCACTGATGTGAACCATGGATGTGTTCCTTTTTTTTTTTTGGGTTAAATATTAAAAGATTTCCAATACATGCTACTTGGTACTAAAGAAACCAAGAAAAAGACAGCAAAATATCATTATTTACACATTTATTTTCTTTTTTCATGATTTTTCAAAGAGTTCAAAAGTTATGACCAATATTTTAAGAAGTCTCAGCAATGGATTCCTCTGTGTGCTTGCCCTTGTCAGCCACCTGCCTGGACCTGGCCTTGCGCTCCAGAATTCTCTTCCTGTCCTTGTCCAGCTTCAGTTTCACAATCACCACCTGTAACCAAAGATGGTCCCAGCCATTAGAAATGTGAATAGAAATATGAAAAGTGTTTTAATAACTTCACTATACACAGCCTTATATTACAACTGTCCAATAAAATTTACTTCAATTTTAGCCAGAATAGTAAAACAGAGTTTGTGCCTAGCAAATATTTGGCAAAGTAAAAATGTTTTACAGTCCATTTCACTGGGTGGCAAATAAACAAACCGGGTAGATAAAATGTCCTGAATTCTAAACACATTTATTATTCATGAAAATTTTATCAAATTTCACTTTAGGTCTAGCATTTTGCTGTTGAATGCCACATGACCACTTAAGATGAGATATAGTCATAACTTTCATGTGTATGGACAAAATTGGTGATAAAATATTAAGTGAAATTTGTTGAATTACATTAGACAATTCGTGAATAATTTAAGTCCCTCTCCCCAACCCTGAACCACCTGACATCTTCATAATTGTAAACTATGTTTTTTAGGACAGCACCTAACCTTAGATGGGTGAATGCCGACGTGGACTGTTGCACCATTGGCCTTCTCTCTCTGAATCCTCTCAATGTAGATGACAAATTTCTTACGGTAACACTGGACAACTTTGCCCACTTGCTGCCCCTTGTAATGTCCCCTTACAACCTGGAAGAAATAATGAGAAAATCAATAAACTTAAATTTAAAATAGGAGCACAATTCTTGGGTGACTGTATACCAGGATGTTATAATTGTAGTCTGTACATATGTATACATCAGCAGCTTGAAAAACTTAAGCATGTTGTGACTTTCTGACTATTATATGACCTGCCAAAATTTTGAATCAAACAGCTGAGCAGTTATCAGTAATTTTTGAGGTGTGCAAATAAGAATACATGAAAGGATTTTTTTAATTCAGAAAAGGATTGGTTTGTTTACGTGCATAAATTTTGCATGTGTATTACAGTCTGTGTTGCTTCTGGAATGGCATTTTCTTGAATGAATTATGCCAAATAACAGGTTGGTCCCTATGCAAGAATCCTTCCCCTATTGCTCTAGTCTGATAGTCCACGCAATAAATAATAAGTGGAATAATAAGACATGAAGCAAGTTACCCTGCTGTCTTCATTGGGAGTTATATAACTAGACAGCTATTCTGATGTATGATGACACAAGGAATGGAAATTCAAGGTTCACTGCCTTTTATCGTGTTGTGACAGATTGCGCAGGGTAAGGAAATAACCAATATACGAAATCAGACATGCTGAAAACTTTTCAGAAGGGCTGGGCATTTAGACCGGCAGTAGTAAAAAAATTTGCCGGATTGTATGGATTTTTGCCAGACCAAAAATCACCCTTTTTGTTTGAGACGGATACTACGATTAGGTAGCTTACTTTGTTTGTCAATGTGATCAGTTAGAAATGGAAGGGGAAAACGATTTGGGTTTTATATTAGTGAAGTATGTCTAATGATGACTGTAAATTCAAAATGTCAGCTCTTAAAACTCTTCTCGGTCCTTTTGACTGACCACCTCCAATTTTTTACCTGTCCAGACAAATTTTGTCGGTCATGACAAAATTTAGCATGTCTGCTAAATTGTCCGCAGACAGCAAATACAAAGAGCTAGAGTTCAGTTTTTAACACTTGATGTGACATGATATCAACATCCACAGATAGAATTGCAAAGTAATCGTAACTAACACACTACTTCCAAGTTTTAAACTCATCACATTCTATCCCTTTTAACAAAGAATAAATGGTACATAGCAGTTTCACATCATAAAAATATATGGCATTATTTAACATTTCTGGTTTTTGCCTTTCTTTGAAATATCAGATAATGATTAAAGTACAGACATTAGCATTTTCCTTTAAGGTTAGGTATACTACCTGCATTTGAAAATGTCCTAAAGTCATATGTTCTATGTTGACATATCTTGCACACCTTATCTTTCAGTCAGACCTTAAAAACCATTAAACCCCTCAAATAAAAAGTACCTGATGTAAATATTTTCTTCTAACATGTTCAGGAAGTCAAATCATTTAATTAGAAATTAATATAAAATATCAAATCCCAGTGAATTCATAGGTTGAGCAAAATTTGAGAGTTGGGTGAAAATTGCTCTTTTTTTCAAGGATAATTTTGATTTGGCAGAGCTTCTTTTAACCTAATGAATTATTTTAAAATTGGTAATTTTTCAAAACTTTTGTGACTGGGCAATTGTTACTGTGAACTGGCCATTTGTTGCAGAAACACAGCTCATCACTCAGATGGTGATGACAAAAGCAGACAATACACAAGGCAATCCATACAATATACTTCAATACAGACAGAATGCAATGGTCCTCAACCTTTCCAAATAAAGTCACAGGGAGTGACACATAAGTTTAATTCAACGCATGATATTTATTTATTGGGTATTTTAATATATTCAGTCTATTTTACTTAAGGCAAAATAACTTCACTAGAAACAAGCAACTGACTCCATCTTGCACTTCGTTCTCAGACAGAGAGATGTCATCAATGAAGTTATATTTCTTACCGTAACTTCGTCGTCTTTTCTGATGGGGATGCTTCTCACGTTGTACTTCTGCCTCAATTCTTTAGACAAGGGGGCACTCATGATCTTCCTACGGATATGAGACGGTGCATTGAAGTGCCTCTTGCGGTTCTTCCTCCGCGAGGAGGTGACCATCTTATTGAACTTCATTTTGTGAGCTGAAATATTATGATAAGGAATCAAGGATATTTAAGAACCATCTACAATATAAGGTTTGCGTGAGAGGCAATGTAAAGAAGCCGGGGACTAAGGCAACATATCTCTGTAACAGGAGTTAGGTCTGCAGTGAAATTTCATCAGATATATAGCTTGATTAATTCTGATTAAAATAAGTTCTGAAAATGTGGCAGATGTCTTTCCATTCGGCAAGATTTCAATCGATGCATGTCCTATACATATGAATTTGCCTACCTCCAAGATAGCTACACAGGAAAAGGCAGACCACAGGGAATTGTGGGAATTTTTCATCTAAACGACCTTGACAGAAACATCAACAAGGTTACGGTATTCTACACATGGCAGAATGTTTACTTCGCTTGTAAGTGTTTTTTTCCCTTGTCTGATAAGAAGTTAACCTGAGCAAAATTAAGGTGTTTTTCCTAACACAACAACTTTGTTCCTAGCATTTTGAACATATAGTTTATAACTGCTTGACATAAAGGGGAGAAAATAGGATAAAGTCAAAGGCCTCGGTCCACACAGTCACAGTGTAATGAGACACTTATGTAATGGCATCTTTTTGTAACGCGCAAAATGCAATCCGCAATTCCATGGTTCGTGTCAGATTTACGTAAAATAGCTCCAAGAAACCCCAAGGACACATAATGACCAGTTAAACTGTTTGTAGCGATTTGGGGTGAGTGCAGAAAAATCACCGACCAGGCCAGGTATCGAACCGGGACCCCTTGCTTACAGGGCGAGTGCTCTTACCTACTGAGCTACCCGGCCGGTTCTACCTGTCCCTGGCACTACACTCCTCCCCCCTAAATGCCAAAAGACGCGAGCCCTATCTCGCAACACCGCTGCCACCATTGTAGCGATTTGGGGTGAGTGCAGAAAAATCACCGACCAGACCAGGAATCGAACCCGGGACCCCTCGCTTACAGGGCGAGTGCTCTTACCTACTGAGCTACCTGGCCGGTTCTACCTGCCCCTGGCACTACATGTTTATTTGATGGCGCTTGCTATCTACATATGATATCTACATCTCAACTTCCAAACCATCTCGTTTGGCTTGCGGCCGACCCCCTCAATCGGCAATCCTCATCTGACTCCGCAACCTCCATAGACATCCGGGTAGTTCCGAGTGCGTCCTCCTAGCTCTCCGAAACGGTCTCCCTTAATCTCCTCTCATCAAACTCCCCAATATTACTTCTGAACGTCTTATATACTTGCGATTCAATGCTTCCAAATGTTACATTCTTCGTGTTTGCCAGAAATCTTCATTCTTTTAACAACTGGATAACACGGTACTCAAAAATGTCCAGACTAATCCATACTTAGGAGTCATGCTTTCTTCTGACCTGAAATGCCTTATGGCCAACTCACATAAACAACTTGTGTAAAAAGGCCAGTTGCTTACTAGGATTCATTAGAAGGAATCTATGCCACAGTCCAGTGATCTAACGAAGATCAGCATACATAGGTCTTGTTCGCTCCACTCTAGAATATGGTGCCATTATATGGGACCCCTACATAAAAACAGACATTGATAAAATGGAAAAAATTCAAAGAAAGGCTGCACGGTTCATCACTGGGGATTACAAGTCTCAATCCCCTGGTAGTGTCACCTCCATGCTGAAATCACCAGTTCTTCCACTACTGCAGCACCAGAACTTTTCTTTTCAAGGTGGTTGAGGGATTGGTACCAGCGATATCTCCTGACACTTACTTCATACCAGTCTCCAACAAACGTCGCATAAGGGCTTTGATTTTGAAAATATTGTGAATAGTTCTACAACAGTCGCTGCTTCCACTTACACACAAAATACACACCTGTCAGAAAAAACTCTCTCTTTGTCAGAACAGTTTCCGATTGGAATGAACTCAGTGATCAACAAGTAAACGCTAAAACTGTGGAAGGCTTTAGATCAGGCCTACACTGTGACTAAGGCTCTATTCCCATAGATTTTAGATCGATCTATCCCCGCGGGGAGTCTCACTAGATTACTTTCAGATAATCCGACTTAAATGTCCGTCCCGCCTACTACAAGCTGTAAGAGGGTAATTAACTTTCGTGTCCGCCCGGCTGACAGCTATTTAGCGTGAGCCCCCAGGGAGTTAGGTCGATCTAAAGTAGGTCGATCTAATCTATGGAAATGGGGTGTAAGTTTCCCATACGCTCTTTTCTATCCGTCTATCTCATACCAGTAGTGGATTTCTTAGACGTACTAGTATATGGACAGATACAGATACAAATCTCTTATCTAAGGTGGATTCAATGCTGCACTATTTCACGGTGCATACTAATTTTAATTACTCAAATTGCATACATCCACTTGCGTTATATCAAAAGCACATTGCAGTTGTGTAGCAAAGTTGCATTGTAAAGGTTCATTTGAACTAGAAACTTAATACTGGTATTCATGTTTTCTGTGATTTACAGAGCATGCTATTGCATGGTAATTGCTCTGGTTTGTCATTTATGCTAGGTGAAAACCGTGCAGGCATGGAAAAATTTTCATTTGTGAAATTGTTAAAATGCCAGGTTTTGGCTGATTATCCATTATTGATATAATGATGAATTTAAACAGATTTTCTCAAAATTTATCTCTGTCACCAGCTAAATACTCATTTTCAGCAGTATGAACCCATGGAGGTTAGAGACAAGGGGAAAATTGAGAGTTTTTTTTTTTTTGGCAATTTGAGTTTCAATCTATCACAATTGAGCACAATAGAGATTATTTATAAAGAAAAGTAAACCCAACCACTAGAGTTATTGTTCAGACTCAAATTGAATTTTTTAAAAGTTTTAGTCTCTTGAAATATTTGAAAGTATCCCAAGACTAAAGATATATCATGGTATTATTTTTTTCCAGCTGAGAAGGGTTCTTCAACCAAAAAAGATAATTCAGACAAGCAGGAGGAACTTATTTGCCTCACAGCAATTGTTTAGTCCAACAAAATCTGACAACTTGCCAGAGCACAGTGATGAGGTACTCCATGCCCCATTGTACATGTTCACAGAAGAAGAAACAATGATGAAGGAAACAGGTATATGCCTTCCTCTCTCTCTCTCTCTCTCTCTCTCTCTCTCTCCCTCCCTCCCTCCCTCCTTTCTTCTCTCTCTCTTTCTCACACACATCTACTGGAATATATTGTGAGTAATTCATTTTAATTGATTATTCAGTTTTTCACCACTCATTATTAACCAAATGGTTTTCATAGTCAGATGGTTGATTTTAATTTTTCAGTTGTGGATCAAGACACCTGGAATGTGATACTTGAAATATTCTGGTCAAGAGTGAATTATTCTGTTATAAGTCAGAAACAATTTTAAATTTGTTTATATTTAAATATCACTTAAAATGCTGGGTGCATGCTTTGGAAAATTTATTTGTACAAATTTTTATAAAAAGCAATGTTTTGGTAAATGTCAATTGTTGTTATCATTATTTTCTATTTGAACTAGTGGCGAAGTTGGCAAAAGACAAGATTGAACCCTTGGTGAGAGAGATGGATGAAAAGTCACAAATGGACCCCTCAGTTATCAAAGCATTGTTTGAAAATGGGGTAAGACGAAGTTATTATGCAAATTAACCAGTTTCAGGAGTATATTAAATAGATCACAATATTGAATACAGTTTGCTACCTACTGTGAAGAACATATTAACAAAATCTGAAAGTTTTCATAAATTTGTAGCTTATAATGTACATGTAGGTACTGGGGGGTTTAGACATTGTTTTTGTTTAACAGTTGGGTACTTAAAAGTACAACCATTATTTATATCATTACAAATACTTGAACAGTGGATGGTTATGAATCACTTTGGTGGGACAATTTTTTATTTTTGTGCATGTTTTTAAATTATTATCATTGTTATTATTGTTGATGTTGTTTCTTTTTTTTTGTTTTAATGATTAACATTACCTGCTATGAATAGCTCATTTCAGTCAACTGAACAAAAGTAATGAATAACTTTTTGAATCTGCCAGTTGATGGGTATTGAGATAGATGCAGAATATGGTGGCACCCATTCCACTTTCTTCTCCTCCATACTTGTGATAGAAGAACTGGCTAGGGTGGATCCCGCAGTGAGTGTGTGCTGCGATGTACAGAATACTGTTGTCAACGCACTGTTACTTAACTATGGAAACCAAGAACAGAAACAGAAATATTTGCCCAGACTGGCTACAGACATGGTGAGTTAACAATTAGTTTTTCTTTATAATTTTAAGTAATCTCAATTTCTCAATTTGTTCACTTTATTTTTTTTTTTACCTTGAATTAAATTTTGTTGATGTGGTATTTTTTTGCAACATTTATTATCGAATGAAATTCCAAAGAGAATACTTTTAAATTGAAGGAATACTATATATGTAACCAGATGAAAGCTACATTTTCTTACAGATTGGCAGCTTTTGTTTGTCTGAAGCAGAATCTGGGTCTGATGCCTTTGCCCTGAAGACGTCGGCTGTGAAAGTGGGTGAAGATTATGTGATAAATGGAAACAAAATGTGGATTACAAATGCAGAGCATGCTGGAGTCTTCTTAGTCATGGCAAATGCAAAACCCACGGAGGTACTGGTGCTAGTATATGTAATGTTTTAGACATTTGTTTCCTTATCATAGGTGTCTTATTTAAATGAGTCATAAAGTTCTTATTTCACTTAAAAAACAGTTGAATGGGGATTAATGTTCCAGGAAATTAAAAGCGAAATGTCATTAATGTAATGGAAAGTTGGATTGAGTTTTATTTAAATGATCATTCCACTGTTCTCCTCCTCTCTCTCTTAAAGGGTTACAAGGGCATAACCTGTTTTATAGTTGACAGAGAGACTGATGGAGTGACTATTGGGAAGAAAGAAGATAAGTTAGGAATAAGAGCATCTAGTACCTGTCCTGTGCATTTTGATCATGTCAAGGTAAAGCAATGGGAATGTTCAGAATTAATAATACAGTGTTGCCTGGCATGGCCACTGACTACAAGAAATTCTGTTTCTTGCATGTTTTCTCTATGTAGCTGTTTGTTATCTGCAGACTTTTAATACATGATAATTATATTATATGTTTGATAGTCTTAAAGTGAAATAATATACACATTGCAATTTGAAGTAATTGATTTTTTTAAATTTAATTATTATACTTTGGTTAACATACATCTTATTTTTATCTTACAACATAGTCATTATTATTATTTGAGTAACAATTGCAGGTTCCAGAGAGTAATATAGTTGGCACATTTGGTCATGGATACAAATATGCAATTTCAATGCTGAATGAGGGAAGAATAGGAATTGGTGCACAGGTGGGAGCTTGATTACCTTGATGTCTGTTTGGGTCTTAGTAATAACCTGCACGGTAGCTAATTCATTGCACACTTCTCAGGTATTATTTGGAAATATCACAATACTGATGAGATATAAGTTTGTATTGAGGTTATAGGAACAATATTTTCCTGTGATTTATATTAAAGATGCTGGGTCTGGCTGAGGGTTGCATTGACCATGTCATACCATACACTATGGAGAGGAAGCAGTTTGGAAGAAGCATATGGAATTATCAGGTATGGAGACGAAGTGTCACTAGATGGTTGAATTCACCAGTTCTGAGAGAAATCTGGCAGGATAAATATGGATGAAGAGCATGCATTAAAACTAGAATTTAAGCTCAATTACATCATCATCATCATCATCATCATCCTCTCTCTCTCTCTCTCTCTCTCTCTCTCTCTCTCTCTCTCTCTCTCTCTCTCTCTCATGTGTCTGTATTTGTAGCATTTGTCACTGCCAAATGTGGAAAATATAATAGCTTGAATTAAGTATGGCAGTCATTATATGATGGAAACATTCATTCACCAAAGTTGTTTTATACGTAATTTCTTGAAGATTTACAAATGCAAGATAAAAATACTTTGAATATTAGTAACATAGAATCAAACTAGTGGTTAATTAATATTTATGGTACGTTTTCACTGGGTTATAGGCCATGCAGCACCAGATAGCAGAAGTCCAGACAAAGATTGAGGCGGCAAAACTTCTCATCTATAATGCTGCACGGCTCAAGGAAGCTGGGATGCCTTTTGTGAAGGAAGCGTCAATGGCTAAATATTTTGCCAGTGAGGTAGAGTAACAGAGCAGTAGTATTTTAAAAACGTCTTTGCATCAAGGTTTACCAGTATTACAGTGGAAAGCATGCTCATATCAACTTGATTGGTTTAGTTGATGTAGTCTGCATATGCACAGTAGATTCTGTAACTGGCAGATTCATTGCCAACGTGTTTGTTTGTTTATACCCAGTACCTGAATTTTTCTTTTATTTGTTGTTTTTGTTTGACCTCCTATGTCTTGTCATGATACAGATTTTTTTTATATATCTGGAGTTATTTTCTCATGCATAATTGAGAACTTGTAATTGGAGTAACTGGTGCCAGTGAAATATTTGTCAATCACACAGGACATTCTGAAACTTCCACTCAAATAAACACCACAGGAAGGTGCCCAACAACTTTTCTTTATTCACTACTGCACACGTGTACATGTATCTCCACCACCAACATGAAGTCCCCTCTATCCTTCCAACAACTCCCACCAGAGGGACGACACAATCCTGTGTCACCTCCACCGCAATCAAGATAGCCCCAATTGTAATACCTAACAATATTTATCTTAAACCCATTCTCTACCGTTATTTTATTCTCCTCTACCAGGTTGCTTCTGTGACCACCTCCAAGTGTATTGAGTGGATGGGGGGTGTGGGATTCACCAAGGACTACCCCGTGGAGAAATACTACAGAGACTGTAAAATTGGTAAGTACAAGTTGAAGAACCATATCAATGGATTGTATTGTCACATTTGTACCTGTACTGTCTTACTGTCTGTATTACTGTATGCTTTTAATAGGACAGGAGAACTTTATTATCAGGTTGCAACTTAGCAAGCACATGCACTTTTTATTTGATGTAATTATTTGTCTATAAATAAAAAATATATAAATAAAATATATTTTAATATACACCTGTCTCTTTAAAATGTATATTAAAAGAAGTCATAAAGAAAAAGGCTTTTTGTGTAACCTTGGTATCACCAACTAGCTGCTTTAGAGTGACAAGTTACTCACATTTTTCCAAAATATTTCTAGGGACAATATATGAAGGTACTACCAACATCCAGTTGAATACCATTGCTAAGTGTATTGCACAGGAGAGACAGGGATAACGCTTAGAAAGGGTCCCTTCTGACCCAACAGTAGCACAGTCAAGGAGGTGGAATCTCAGACTTTTTTCTCATTAATATGTATCAATTTTGAAAACATTCTTGGACCGCTTAATAAATTGGAGTGATGTGAGACAATCTCTTCATCATGATTTGTGCTAATTGGTTTTCACCTATGGAGATAAGCAGGCTCAAATTACAATCAAAGACTATTTACACCACTTCATTACACACTCACACACCACACACCCCCACATACATGTTGTTGAGTAGTTAGAGAATGATAGCTTACACCTTACTGGTCATTGCCACGTGTACAGAAATGTGACAATGGGTAATATTGGTGACAATATCCTCGTTGGAAGTAATCTTGTACAGTTGTATATGTATTTTCATTTCTCGTTTCTGGAGTGCTTACTAGCACTGTTGTTTTGATACCGGAGAACGTGGTTGATAAGTTAAGCATTATGGTAACAGTGATGAACAGAGATGACAGGATACAGAAAAAATAGAATATTTATAAAAAATTTGCTGACGTGCAAAATGTTGATTGATCTTTAGGAGTATTTGGTTGGTGCTAAAATAGAAAGGTTGTTAATCAGAACAAATAAACTGTTAATAGCATTCATAAGCCTGGGAGTGGTGGTTTTTCCCTCATTGCCTAGTGAACTATATTTTGGAAATTAGTACCATAAATTAAGGCTATTGTAGTAGGGGTTATCACACTTTTTTTGCCTCACACAGAAAGAGCAAGATGTTAAGATTTATGCTATTTTTTCAATTTAGTCCCCTTCCAACACTTCACATTTGTTTTGTATAGTTTGCCAGTCACTGATACCCTATAGACCTCAACATCTTACTATTGTACCCCACCCTTTAAAGGAGCTAGCAGCTCATCATCACCAGCCCGAAGGAGTTTTTTTCATCTTGAGAAAGAAGTGGAAAATACAAAAAAATGTATACCTAGTAGATCCACAAATGTGGCTGATGTGGGAATTGCACTTTTGGCGCGACTTGGTGGTATGACTGGTATCAATATTTCAATTCGAAGAAGCAGATTGTATTCATTTGAATTATAGTTTTAAAAACGCTTAAAATGACAATACCCCGCCTATGCGTAAAGTTACGTGGGTGACGTTCGGTGACGTCATCGCCTAGTTGACTTGTACAATACGTTAAATAATCTGGCACGAGAAGTTGCTTTTCTGACAACGCACATTTGATTTTCATCATGCTAGTCAGACAATGATGCGTGAGACTTACGATTGTACCCCAGGTCGGCATTAATGAGTTGATGTCGCATACACATAACTGAAACCACTGTACAGGCGCGACCGCCAACACTTGTACCTCATCTTTTATTAGTACCTGTACTTTGTGAATTCACACCCAGGTTATGTCCTAAATCTGTTAATGACAAATACTTATTACCGTGATGCATCTGGAGGTGTGTTGAATCAAAAGGTGTTTCATTATTTATTTACTTAGCCCACTGTGCTGAATTTCTAAGCTATTTAAGACAGCGATGATATTGAGGAGAAAACTGAAGAGTGAGAAAAAGGTGAGAAGAAGAAATAACGGACCTAGAAAACGATCCAGAAAAACGACTTCCGTTGTTATATTCCCTCTTCCATGCTTCAGTGGCAAGCAGTTTCACATAAAACCTGTGCGGAAAATAATAATTTCTACAACCTGCAATAATTCAGAGAGCAGTCACATCACCACTTTTGAACATTACCATGCCATTAGCGGACATACATTGCCCCTTGTATACATTGCAAATAGACTAAAACAACGACCTAGCTACTGCGTTGAATTGAATAACGGGTATTTATGCAACTTAGATTTACTGTACCTACCATACTATTTTACCACTTAGAAGCTATTTACACAAAAAATGATACCTTTGTAGATCACACGAGTATATGGTAACGCTACGTCTAGAATTTCAGCGTTTTACTGGCAACATCTTATGACCGTTGAAAATAACACGCTCGAATGATGTCTTTTTCCCCCAACTAGTATTAATTCTCAGATTCGTTGAAATATTCATGGACTGGCACCCTGCCATATTTGTATCTCACCAGTGTAGAAAAAAAGCACACTTTCAACCTTATACTTCTATATTTACTATAGTAACTGTGTAATTATTCTGCTGCGCCCACCGTTCTAGTTATTCTTAAAAAGGATAAAAGGTATAACTGAAAATAAAGTAGGAAACGTCTAAAAAGCCATAAGTCTATTCCGGTTCTTGACCAGTAAACTGTGTCCTAATTAAAATGTCTACTTTGGGATTTTGCTTTGAGACCCACTATAAATGTACATAAATGACGTAATATAAACGAGGTATTGTCACCACCGAGGGTTAAAATCATTCCACAGAGAACTTAAAATGTACCCTAAGAATTTAGTTTAAAGGCCGAACAGGCGTGATACTACTACTACTACTACTACTACTACTAAAATAATTTTAATCTAAGCTAATAAGTGGATATTTTATTTAAAATATTTTATTGTAAAAAGCGACCGATAAATGAGTCCGAATATCGTTTATCTTTTGTTAAACTTTTTATTTCAATCGCAATATTTTGCAAGCACGCCCACACATGTCCCCCGGACTCTATTTTGGCACTGAGAGGCTATGTTCAGGTCCTACACCTGTGAATAACCATCATGATGTAGAGCAGGTGAAGGACCTGAAAAGAGCCTCTCGGTGCCAAAATAGAGCCCGGGTGACGAAATTCTTCTGAGGATCTGAGTAGAGCCGTAAAGTTCTACGTCTGCTCAGTCTGGGGTGCTCTCAGCGCCCCCTAGGTCCATGTTACATCGCAAGTACCTGCACTCCTTTAGCGCAGTTAACTTTGTGTCGTCACCAGGAGGAGAGGTCTTTGTAAAATGTTTATTGTGTTTTTCTTGCAAGGACTGTTTATATAAGGGAGGGAGAAACTCGTGTTTATCTGTCGATATATTTTGGTCGTTTATAAAGGAATTGTTGGGCTTCAGATTGGACCTCTCAACCGTTTTTTCTCTCAGTCTCTGTAATCTGTCCTCTATGGCCCTCGCTCGTCCCTCTAAGGTAATCTGCGCCAATCTCTCAGCGGTGTTGCCCTCTTCACAGCTCTGTCTGCGGCCATAGGATGCCCCTGGTTGCCTTATCCATACAACTGACCGGCTTTCTTGCACCGGGGTAAACACCATGCCCGGCATTTGCTGTGGTTCTGGAGAAAAACCGCTGCCCGGAGGCGTCACTGAACGTTGATTGAATACCACCCCCTTGGTCCTGGTCGTCGTGGGGTTTGTGTAGGCCCGCCCTCTGCTAACGGGGGGACCGAAAGCGTGATCAGCATCGTTTTCTGTCCATTTCCTGTTGTTTTGCTTTTTCTTTAACACTGCACCTTCAGTTGAATACTGTTTATTCTCGTGGTCATTGTGTATGTGGTGACTTCTTGGACGACTTTGGCTGGGTTCAGAAGCAGATTTATCGTTATCTAAAGGCGAGATATATCTTTCTGTCCCTGGTGAAAAGGTAGTTTTCCTTGATGCCTTTCCCATTTCCAGTTTGTCTGTGGTTTCTATTTTTACTTGTCTACCTCTCTCGGGTATTCTGTCATTCATTGCTGTCCGGTTCTGAGAGGTGGTATCCTTGATAGTGTGAGATCGCTCAATATTTCGACGCGACAGCAAACGCGCCCGCGCGGCTTGCATCAATTCCGGCGAGGTGTGCGACCTGTGACGTGTGTAGTCCATGTCCGAGCCATCATGACTTCGTAAAGAACTGGAATGCTTTGCTACCATAGGCGAGAGCGGCACATTCAGAATTTGCTGGGTCTGTAACCTGTATAGCTTTGGCCTAGTGGAAATGGTTGATGGGGTTTCTGTGCTTTGTTCGAAGTTCGTTGATTTTCTTTCTCTGTCCTCTACATCAGAATCCATACTGTTTTGTCTGCCGGAGAAACTGATGCACCTCTTTCGTTCATATTTTTCCAACTTTTTCACATATTCCTCCTGACTCCTCATCTGAATTTTCATCTCGCGATCGTGTCTCTTTTGCATGGTCTTTTCCTGCTTGTCTAGGACGACTTGCTCACGAGTGTTCAAAACTTGAAACATTTTCCTCCCGGCGTTCCTGTTCTGCACGGGATCGGAGCAAAATCGGGGCCCTCTAGCGGCCATATGGCCCATGTTCGTGTCACTTTGAGTGTTGTCTTCCATCTTTTTTAAACAACGATGCTTTAGTAGAAACGTTTATCACTAGACACTTTTATCCACAATATTATCTTTTTCAACCTCGTTTGAATGGTAGAAGAACAAGACTGAAGCGGATGTCCCTTTGTTTGTTCGGTGACTGTACTGGAAAGTAACAGAACAGTTTTGTTTAGTACATCAGCTCGTTCGGCAAAGAAAACATTTCACTAAAAAACTGGTAAGTTTTGTTACTGTGCCGAGTGTGTGTATATACATACAAGTGACTTTATTTCTGTGGCTGCCGGTTGCCAGATACAGCATAACGGAGAAGGTTTACATAGAGCCACAAGTCAGGGAGAGTCAACAAAGTTTTTTTTTTCAACGTGATAAAAATAATCGCAGTAAGATTAATGTAACGTGATTAAATGAGCGAAAAAAAAAAAACTGACGATGAAACAAAACTCACGTAACTATTTTTACATAATTATAAATAAATATGTAATTTTGGTGTTTTAATTAAAACTGGATCAAATGTATACCCACTTTAGAATTTACTCTCTCTCTCTCTCTCTCTCTCTCTCTCTCTCTCTCTCATACACTCACTGACAGACACGCACATACTTACCTTTCGTTTTGGGGGATACTCCTCCAGCCTACATGTAAGTTTTCTCATTTTTTACATGCACAGCTTGTTATTTAAGTCTGAAGGCTGCGTAATTTTTTTGTGTAAACATGTTAGTCGGGTTGGATAGTTACTCGATAAAAACGATAATCTTGGTAGAGTTTCCACGCAGCTAAGTGCACTATTTATCACTGTTAAGATGATAATATAGACGTAACCTATGAAAAGGGATTAAGTTAATCGCAAACCTTCCTGGCGACCTAGGAAAGCTGGGCATTGCAAGGCTCGCTTGACAATCGGGTAATGGTACTTTAATTCTGATTGATAAGTAATTTGTAGTTTGCTAGAGGTTCATTATTTCCCGATCTATTTTCTATTCGCTTCATCACAAATGGCCAAGTCATCTAACACTAAATGGCTTTCGTGAATTAATTTGAAGAGCCTATAGATATATAGAGTACGTGTAACCCCGTGTTTAAATGACTCTGAGAACGATTTAACCATCGCACTGTTACTTATACCATCCTGCGTTTAGCTTGTTTAGATTTTTACCAAGTCACAAGAGGCTTTTAACTTTTAAAGGAAGTAAGAGGTTTTTAAAAAATATTAATCCTCTAGCTGTATCCAGTTTTAACTCTCAATTAAAAATAATTGCAATTACCTTTTAATACACAATATCCATTTTATTTTCACATCCTTAACTTCAGGATTTCATTTATCATTACTATTTTAAATAACTTTTAAGAGCTACATTAGTATTCAAATTTCTGGTATATATTTTGTACATGTACATATATATATTAGCTGAATAAATAATATTATAATGCTAAGGTACCACCTTACTGATATGACTGCAGCTTGATCCTCTCAATTAATAGAACGGTTATGCCTCAATTTATCAATCACATTCAAATTATTAATTACCCAATTATTTGACCATGTCATTTTAAGAGCACTTTGTTACGCTTGACATTCGCTTTTGCCTTGTTCAGTAATATGATTTATGTACGTATGTGTACGGTCATTTACGAAGTGGACTTGGTGCTTGCTTGTTTACTTACTTTGTGAAGGACGATTAATTGGAATGTGTGTTTATGTATGGAAAAATATAGATGTATGAATAGGTGTAAATATGTCCATCAAGTATTTTTATACAATAACAATACAATAATAATGGCAACCAAAGTAGGTTAAAACCTCCATGTACATAGGTTGCGATCGTGGTTAAGTGGTAAGCATGAATTGCACTTGAGGATGATTAGCATGATAGATGTAGGATAGATAAAAGTGGAATAAAATCAAAACAATCAAGTGAAATTTGCTATTAACAGATTAAATGGAGGCGGCACTCCAGTGTTTGTGACCGTCTACCGGCTATGTAAAATCACTTATCTACCAAAGAGGGCAAATATTGATGAAAACAAAGTGCAATTGGCAAGCATGCAATGATCTTTCTCGCTAATTGACTCAGAAACATAGTCTACCTGGTAAGAGTCAATATTGCTTTCTTCATTCGTGGTTATTTTCTTTATTACGTTCTGGAACAATTTTGTACATATTTTCCTGGGTAAAATTTTGTTTTAATAGTTTAATTGTTAGCTGTTTAATTGTATTGCATTTATTCATTCGTTTGGGGATTCTGTGCACCGCCGTAATATCATCAGCCTTTATCTGGACCTTGCATACAACATCCCAAATGTTCTCGTGTTCCTTCCCTATCTCCCCGTAAACTTAAATTATGTTATATTTCCGGGTGTATTATTCATATAGTTGGTCATTTCGATGGCATATTTTTAGAAATGTTTCAATTGGTTTCTGTAACCAAATACTTCATGCATTTAACGATAAAGAAAAGTCAAATTGGTCACTTAGTTATTTGTTCCAGAGATACATCTGATGACCAGTAGATCAAACGAAGTATGTGTGCGTCTAGTATGTTTATTTTAAATAACGCAAGAAATAGCTTGCGGGTACTTTCACGGTGTCGCCCGGAGTTTGTAAACGAGTCGTCAGTGGGTACATTACGTCGCAAAGTGTCACCGAGCTTTCTTTGCTAAACGAAACGTTTTTTTTTTTTTTTTTGACATATTTTCAACGTTTCCATCAAAAGAACAACAAAGCTTTCATTAAAGGGTGAATAACATATTTTATTGCATCTTACATTTTGATCATTAATCGCTGCCGTAAATGAGAGAGCCTCTTTAAAAGGCAAAATTTTTCAGGCCTAAATCTAACGTATTTGCAATATTAAACATCATCCTGTGTTATGAACTAAATTACATCATTCTATTAGGAGAATTTTTCAATAAAAGCAGCTGTCAAGTTTCAAATATCATACTTGTGTTTGTCTTTTATTGTTTATTTCGTGTGTGAATGAGGAGACTAAATATTTTTATCCTTTCCCATGTTTGGTTTGTTACTGTGAAATATATAAGGCTACATAACAAGTAGTGGCATGTAACAATGCGAGAGGGCGCTAAATTCGGTAAAAGTAGCAAAAATGCCGAATCCACCATTTTTATTGGTGAAGACCCGGAAATTTGTGATTTAACTGATTTTTTATACAAGTCACATAAAATAATCCTTTGGCAGAAAAACGGCCCATCTTCCATGCAGCTAGGAAGGAGGGAGAATATATGCATAAAGTGTCGAATATCATATCCAAAATGAATATGAAATTCATCATGTATAGGCCTAATGCAGAAAATATTCGCAAACAGGGAATTTAGAATAATGGTAATAAAAAAATAATAATAATTGAAACATAATTTATTACTTTGTATGACTATGTTCTATGTATGAAACTGAATACATGAGACTCTTAATAAGCACCATAAAAATATTTTAGTCCATCCCATGTCAACGTAACTGCATTTTAGTAACAAGCTTCTTTTTTAATATTTCAAACTACTCATCAGTTACACGTATACTGATTGGGCTATGAATAATGATTAATTAATGCTTTTGCAAATGACATAGTATATTTCATTTTTATATGTAGGCCTATGATAAAAGATTATGATCCGGAAAGCACTTCCTCTAAGACAAATTAGATTATCTCTTAACCCTTAGCGACATACGAGGAATGCTTATTCAGAGTATTATTGTCAGGTAAAATTTAAAATTTAAGGTTTGAATGTTACAAAATGTTGAGTATTTGTCATATAAAAATGGGCAACTGAGCTAAAATGTCCATTTTCGCACCTTTCGCCTACTTCAGCGCCCTCTGGTAGTATTAAGACCCATTGTTTTCTGAGGACGACACCTTAAAACGAACCCATGTGGATTGTATTATCATAATATGATGTCAACCTAAATATAGGTCACTTAGGATATTAAAGTCACTTTACAAGCCTATTTCTGTGCACTGCGTCCATTTTGTAAAAAAGGGTCAAAATGCACTGAACCTAAATATAAGTCGCCTAGGAAATTAAAGTACCATTACAAGCCTATTTCTAGGTACATGTACGGCGTCCATTTTGTAAAACAAGGGTCAAAATGCAAAACCAGAGGTTACATGTACATGTGTATATTATTTATATTTATTTAAAAATATAGCAGCCTTTTTCATGCCTACATGTTAGGTAGATTATCCGATATTGTTTTAGAACTCAATCACATTGGCATATCAGACCTCTCTTGTGCAAATAGTTCCAAAACGATTTACAATAACGCTTTTATTTCCTTCCTATGCCAAATCTAACTCGATGCACGCGATGGGATGGAATGTCACCTTGGCTGAGCTGTCGTAGCCGGGCTATTAAATCTTCAACTTTGTGCTTGCCACGCTTGGATAGGTATCCTGCAAAGAGAAGCCAGTCAGTCAATTTCAAAATAGGGGTTCTTTTTCTGATAAAGTATATCTTTATATCCCCTGAAAACTGAAAAATGGCATGGAATCTGAATTAAACTTTGGTTCAGAGCGGACCTTTTCCGACCAAAAGGACGGTTCTTTCGAACCCTCGACAACCCCCACCCCCCACACCTACGGGACAGAAAAATAATCTTCCTTTGCAAATAAATACTAGGAATGTATGTATGAAGCGAAAAGGTAGCCTTGTTACCATATTGTACCCCATAAAGCTGTAAATTCAGGTAGACAAGATGTATTTGGAATATATCCACGCTAACTGTGTTTTAAAGTTATTTCAATAAAATAGATTAAACTCAACCATTCAATTTTACCAATGAAACAATAACTTCTATCTGAGGATTTGTTTTCTATAACCAGCTTAGTTTACCGCACTTGGGGACACATAATTTTACCATCTTCTATACACACCGAGCTCGAGCGTTTTACCATCTTCTACTCCGTTTTATGTCATTCATTTGATGCATACACAGTTCTACATCATTGCAAAAGCAGTCAGTTATGATAGCGTATTTCATAATGTATTTTGAGAACATTTACAGACCTTAAACAAATGAGGCACTTCTTCTAAGATTAAATTAACAACTTTGTAAAGGTAAACCGTCAGCAATTGATAGCCGGGGTCAGTAATAAGTTTTTATTGCACCACGTTCATATTTCATAAAGTGTCAATTTCTACCCACCTGATCTCACGTTCACAGTGTCCTGGGGTATCAGACTGTCTCCGTATTGGTACGGATTAACACCGGCGTACGTCAATTGGTCTGCAAAGACGAAATAACAAATCTCAAAGCACTGTCTCTTAATAACGATGTCTGTGTTCTAGGTTGAAAATGAAACCGAATCAGAAGTATCGATATGGTGCACCTGGTTTGATCCTCAATTATTGATCTTAGTTTTAAAATAATCCACGCTGACTTAAAAGTATATGTAATTAACAGTTACAGGTAGCGTCAGTGCAAGAGCTACTAGTAGGCCTAATATATAAAATATTCTGGTACAAACCAGAAAAAATTACTTAATTCACATTAAAACTTGATCAGAACTTAAAATGACAATTTATGAAAAAAAAACCTCATAACACCCCCTAAGAGGGAATAGGCCAATGCATTAACCTCCTTTTGTCCCCATGAAAACTGACTTGTTAAGGCCCACTGTAGTAGTTTAATGTTGTGAAATGTTCTTGATAAAGTGCAGTTTGTCGGCGTGCACAGGTGGTGTATGTGGGATTTCTGGATTACTTAAGAGATAATGTGAACGTTGTCATTGCTGATGTATGACCATGGCTATAATATATAGCACAGTAGTATCAGTGGAGGACATATAGCTTGCATACACAAAGGGGTGAGACCTGGCGTGCATAAGAGGATTCGGAGAAGACAGAAATAATCATAATCAATGTAAACATTAAACATAATTTGATATATTTTACATTGAGGAAATTGCGCGCCACACCAACTCATTAGTAAGCCTTGTATAAAATGTTACAATACTTTCTATCATAGCTCTCTAACAGTTGATAAAAATGCTTGGCGGGTTAAAAAAAACTCTTAAGCTCCTTAAAAAATAAGGCAGTTTTAATATTAATATAGGATACGTAACGAATACACTACATACGTAAAAGGCAAGTGATGTCAAATGTGCCAGCTAAAGACTAACGTCATGAAGATTGTTACAAGGAAAGGGATTGGCATTCGTTGAGAAACTCATTGTCTCTGATGAGTCTGTTTTTAAAGTGTCTTCTATTTTTATGAACTTCTGTTCGACAATGTGTCTTTGTTTTGTCTCGCGTATGCATCCTTTTTTAAGATGGTGACTGTAATGTCATTGGCGGAGTGATAAGGAGTGTTGAAATGTTGTCCCAGTGACACGAAGTGTTTTTGTTCTTTATTGTGCTACAGTGTTGCCTGATGCAATCTTTTAGTTTCTGACATGTGTCTCCAACATTCATCTGATTGCATTTTTCACAGTGGACTTCTCTAGAGATCACGTTACGTGGATTATCTGGAAATCGTGACAAGTAGGCGTAACAGTTGGGTTGAATCCTTTTAAACTGTCAATTTGTCTCAAGGAAAAAACAACTGCAAAGCACTGCGTCTCCAGTTACCGTAGAGATATATCACACAGTGCTCACTCCAAAATAAGTGAGTGAATTGTTTAGATTTAGCTTTTTCTTCTTATCCTCCCTTTCATTTGAGAGGGCACGGAAAGACAAGGCAAAGACACTTGTCTGCTTTGGACAGTTTTAGTTACCTCTAAGAGTTTTAATAGTGTAAGATCCAATATATGCAGGGCTCTTGTTTCAATGTGTATTACATGTAACAACAAGTTAGTAGCTCAGAAAGAACATCTTTTTTGTAATTCAAATGTATAATACTCTAATTCACATGGTGTCGTAACCTTATCTCCAGTACTTGTTAATGTCTTAAACAACTTCTCATGGTCCCATTCAACATGTCTTAAGGACAGTGGGATCAAATAAGAGACTGCGAGATCTTTATTAGCACATTGTAATACGATATTTATCAGATATGCAATATGTCCGCTGTTACAGTGTAACAAAGGCTTCTCCGATTCTTAGAAGTAACACTAAATGAAAAAAAAAAATGTTTTCCTCAGTATTCACGAAATAGTTATTTCTTAGGGTGCATTCCCAGAGATTTAGATCGATCCAGAGATTTAGATTTAGATCGACCTGGGGCTTCACGCTAAATTGCACTCAGCCGATCGCGCACCATAGTTAATTACCCCCTTACAGCTTTTAGTAGGCGGGACAGACGCTTAAGCCGACTAAGCTGACAGTAATCTAGTGAGACTCCCCACAAGGATAGATCGATCTAAAATCTATGGGAATGGGGTCTTATATTAAATCGGCTACTGCGCGTATTTTTATGCTGATACACCTCAATGTAGTGATTATCGTCGCAGACTAAAAAGAAACATTTGTGTAGAATATACAAATCAGTTATTTAAAATATTCACCAGATATCCTTGGAGTCCCTATTCATAGNTTTTTCTGATAAAGTATATCTTTATATCCCCTGAAAACTGAAAAATGGCATGGAATCTGAATTAAACTTTGGTTCAGAGCGGACCTGTTCCGACCAAAAGGACGGTTCTTTCGAACCCTCGACAACCCCCACCCCCCACACCTACGGGACAGAAAAATAATCTTCCTTTGCAAATAAATACTAGGAATGTATGTATGAAGCGAAAAGGTAGCCTTGTTACCATATTGTACCCCATAAAGCTGTAAATTCAGGTAGACAAGATGTATTTGGAATATATCCACGCTAACTGTGTTTTAAAGTTATTTCAATAAAATAGATTAAACTCAACCATTCAATTTTACCAATGAAACAATAACTTCTATCTGAGGTTTTTTTTCCATAACCAGCTTAGTATACTGCACTTGGGGACACATAATTTTACCATTTTCTATACACACCGAGCTCGAGCGTTTTACCATCTTCTACTCCGTTTTATGTCATTCATTTGATGCATACACAGTTCTACATCATTGCAAAGGCAGTCAGTTATGATAGCGTATTTCATAATGTATTTTGAGAACATTTACAGACCTTAAACAAATGAGGCACTTCTTCTAAGATTAAATTAACAACTTTGTAAAGGTAAACCGTCAGCAATTGATAGCCGGGGTCAGTAATAAGTTTTTATTGCACCATGTTCATATTTCATAAAGTGTCAATTTCTACCCACCTGATCTCACGTTCACAGCGTCCTGGGGTATCAGACTGTCTCCGTATTGGTACGGATTAACACCGGCGTACGTCAATTGGTCTGCAAAGACGAAATAACAAATCTCAAAGCACTGTCTCTTAATAACGATGTCTGTGTTCTAGGTTGAAAATGAAACCGAATCAGAAGTATCGATATGGTGCACCTGGTTTGATCCTCAATTATTGATCTTAGTTTTCAAATAATCCACGCTGACTTAAAAGTATATGTAATTAACAGTTACAGGTAGCGTCAGTGCAAGAGCTACTAGTAGGCCTAATATATAAAATATTCTGGTACAAACCAGACAAAATTACTTAATTCACATCAAAACTTGATCAGAACTTAAAATGACAATTTATGAAAAAAAAAAAAAAACCTCATAACACCCCCTAAGAGGGAATAGGCCAATGCATTAACCTCCTTTTGTCCCCATGAAAACTGACTTGTTAAGGCCCACTATAGTAGTTTAATGTTGTGAAATGTTCTTGACAAAGTGCAGTTTGTCGGCGTGCACAGGTGGTGTATGTGGGATTTCTGGATTACTTAACAGATAATGTGAACGCTGTCATTGTTGATGTATGACCATGGCTATAAAATATAGCACAGTAGTATCAGTGGAGGACATGTAGCTTGCATACACAAAGGGGTGAGACCTGGCGTGCATAAGAGGATTCGGAGAAGACAGAAATAATCATGATCAAAGAAAACATTAAACATAATTTGATATATTTTACATTGAGGAAATTGCGCGCCACACCAACGCATTAGTAAGCCTCGTATAAAATGTTACAATACTTTCTATCATAGCTCTCTAACAGTTGATAAAAATGCTTGGCGGGTTAAAAAAAATTCTTAAGTTCCTTTAAAATAAGGCAGTTTTAATATTAATATAGGATACGTAACGAATACACTACATACGTAAAAGGCAAGTGATGTCAGATGTGCCAGCTAAAGATTAACGTCATGAAGATTGTAACAAGGAAAGGGATTGGCATTCGTTGAGAAACCCATTGTCTCTGTTGAGTCTGTTTTTAAAGTGTCTTAGGCTCTATTCCCATAGATTTCAGATCGATCTATCCCCGCGGGGAGTCTCACTAGATTACTTTCAGATAATCCGACTTAAATGTCCGTCCCGCCTACTACAAGCTGTAAGGAGATAATTAACTTTCGTGTCCGCCCGGCTGACAGCTATTTAGCGTGAACCCCCAGGGAGTTAGGTCGATCTAAAGTAGGTCGATCTAATCTATGGAAATGGGGTGTTATATTTTTATGAACTTCTGTTCGACAGTGCGTATTTTTGTCTCGCGTATGCGTCCTTTTAAAATGGTGACTGTAATGTCATTGGCGGAATGATGAGGAGTGCTGAAATGTTGTCCCAGTGGCACGAAGTGTTTTTGTTCTTTATTGTGCTACAGTGTTGCCTGATGCAATATTTTAGTTTCTGACACGTGTCTCCAACATTCATCTGATTGCATTTTTCACAGTGGACTTCTCTAGAGATCACGTTACGTGGATTATCTGGAAATCATGACAAGTAGGCGTAACAGTTGGCTTGAATCCTTTTAAACTGTCAATTTGTCTCAAGGAAAAAACAACTGCAAAGCACTGCGTCTCCAGTTACCGTAGAGATATATCGCACAGTGCTCACTCCAAAATAAGTGAGTGAATTGTTTAGATTTAGTTTTTTCTTCTTATGTCCCCTTTCATTTGAGAGGGCACGGAAAGACAAGGCAAAGACACTTGTCTGCTTTGGACAGTTTTAGTTACCTCTAAGAGTTTTAATAGTGTAAGATCCAATATATGCAGGGCTCTTGTTTCAATGTGTATTACATGTAACAACAAGTTAGTAGCTCAGAAAGAACATCTTTTTTGTAATTCAAATGTATAATACTCTAATTCACATGGTGTCGTAACCTTATCTCCAGTACTTGTTTATGTCTTAAACAACTTCTCATGGTCCCATTCAACATGTCTTAAGGACAGTGGGATCAAATAAGAGACTGCGAGATCTTCATTAGCACATTGTAATACGATATTTATCAGATATGCAATATGTCCGCTGTTACAGTGTAACAAAGGCTTCTCCGATTCTTGGAAGTAACACTTAATTAAAAAAAAATCTTTTCCTCAGTATTCACGAAATAGTTATTTCTTAGGGTGCATTCCCAGAGATTTAGATCGATCCAGAGATTTAGATTTAGATCGACCTGGGGCTTCACGCTAAATTGCACTCAGCCGATCGCCCACCATAGTTAATTACCCCCTTACAGCTTTTAGTAGGCGGGACAGACGCTTAAGCCGACAGTAATCTAGTGAGACTCCCCACAAGGATAGATCGATCTAAAATCTATGGGAATGGGGTCTTATATTAAATCGGCTACTGCGCGTATTTTTATGCTGATACACCTCAATGTAGTGATTATCGTCGCAGACTAAAAAGAAACATTTGTGTAGAATATACAAATTAGTTATTTAAAATATTCACCAAAAATCCTTGGAGTCCCTATTCATCGTGAATTTGGAGGTTTGAATTAGAACCAAACGCTGATAGAGCTAAGTAACTGACGAATGCCTGTCGTCGTAATGTCTAATGCAGTATATTGTCACAGTGCCGTGTACTAGAGCTTCAGAGGGGTTTTCACTCGATTTTCCAGATATTGATTAATCGTCTTCTTGTTATTGTGAGTGTTATTGTGAGTGTGTGTTTTTGCACTGGTATGTCGACTTAGACTCCGTTCACATGAAAAATCTATTTTCTAAAAATCTATTTTCTATTCGCGGTATCTTGTGATCACTCCGAGCGCAGCCGAGAATTAATAACAGGCTTGGAAGTAACTGGCTCGCGCTGCCAGTAATTACGCCGCGGGGTATTCAGGGCACAGACTGTGATCACAAGATACCGCGAATAGAAAATAGATTTTTAGAAAATAGACTTGTCATGTGAACGGAGCCTAATACCATTGGCACTCTAGGGCTGCGTTCACATGGAGAATCTATTTTCTAAAAATCTAAATATCTATTTTCGGTATCTTGTGATCACGGTCTGTGCCCTGGATACCCCGCGGCGTAATTACTGGCAGCACCGAGAATTAATTACAGCTTTGGTTATTACGCTGTGGGGTATTCAGGACACAGACCGTGATCACAAGATACCGAAAATAGATTTTTAGATTGTTAGAAAATAGATTTTTCATATGAACGGTCCCTAGGTCTTAAAATCGCCGAATATGCCGATAGGATGTAAACTTTATTATAGACAAAAATAAAATACTTCTTGTTTCAACAATATTTCTTTTTAAATACATTTATAGCGATCAAAATTTAAAAATTTGCCAGGGAAAGCCCGTTTTTACACAGTGCCACAGTGCCAAGTGGAGCCGATATTGTATTTCAAGAGAAAAAGCGTCAAGAACGCTATCATGGTCACGACAATGTTTCGTCTGATATTC